TAAAACTACAGACCAATAGTCCTCATAAAGAGACACAAAAAAATCATTAACAAAATATTAGCAAACTAATATTCTGATTCTGGGAAAATATACAAGAATTTATATTTTATTAGTTTGCTAATATGCTGATTCTGGGAAAATATAAAAGGACAATATACTATGACCAAGTACAATTTATCCCAGAAATGACATGTCTGTTTAACACTGGAAAATCAATTAATGTAATAAACCACATTAACAGAATGAAGGGAAAAATCACATGATTACCTTGACATGGAAGAATGTACTTGACAAAATCCAATACCCACTCATGATAAAACCTCTCAAACAGCCCAGATGAGATCTCTTCATCTTATATAAATCATAGAGAATCTTCTGATAAAGGCTATCTCTCTTACAAGAAAAACCATAGCCAACCTCACATTTTATGGAAGATTGAGTATTTTTCCCCTAACATCAGAAACAAGGCAAGAATGTCTATGTTTACCACTTCTAGTCAACACTGTACTGAAGGTCCAAGCCAGTGGAGGAAGAAGAAGAGCAGGAGGAGGAAGAGAGGGAACAAGAGAGGGAGGAGGAAGACGAAGAAGAAGAGGGAGAGGAAGAGGAAGAAGAGGAGAAACGAAAGTAAAGGTACACAGATTGGAAAGAAAAAAGTAAAACTGCCATTATTCTCAGATCATACAATTCTGAATATAAAAATTAATCTACAAGAACAACAATAAAAAACCTACCTGAACTAAAAAATGTTTAGCAGGTGCAGAGTTCAAGATATATAAAATCTATTTTATTTCTAAAATACAGCATACAAGAATTTAAAAATAAAATTAATGAAACAATTCTATTCATAATAGCATCAAAAATAATAAAATACTTGGAAATAAATCCAACAAAAGAAATGCATACTGTATACTAAAAACTCTAAAACATTGTTGAGAGAAATTAAAGATCTAAAAAAAAAAAAAAATGAAAAGACATACCAGGTTCATAGATCAGAGATTTAAGAAAGCAGTTCTCCCCTAAATTCATCTCTAAATTCAACACTATTTCTGTCAACACTGTTCCTATTCAACATTCTTCTTACGTAGTACCAAGCCAGCTTTTATGTTGAAACTGACAAGCTGACTCAAATTTATATGATATGCAGAGGACCCAGAAATAGTCAAAACAAAGTTGAAGAACTTACACAATATAACTTCAAAACTTACCATAAAGTTAAAGACAGTGGTACTGACATAAGGATAGACATACAGATGAGTAGAACAGGCTAGACAGTCCAGAAGTAAACCCCCACATTTACAGTCAATTGGTTTTCAACAAAGGTGCAAAGATGATTAAATGAGGAAAAGGACTGTCGTATCAACAAATGATGCTGAGACAACTGGATAGCCATCCATCAAAAACAAACAAAAAAACTACACCCTTACCTCACACCATACATAAAATGTAACTCAAACTATATGATAGGCCTAAAGGCAAGAGATAAAAATATAAAATGTCTAGAAGAAAAGACAGGAGAAAATGTTTGTGACCTTGGGTTAGGCAAATATTTCATAGACATGACAGCAAAACCATTTTAAAAATTGATAAATTAGACTTAATAACTTTCGGTTCTCAAAAGACACCATTGAGAGAATAAAAAGACAAACCGCAGACTGGGAAAAGTATTTACAAATCATATATCTGATAAAGGATTTATATTTAGAATTTTTTTTTTTTTTAAAACTTACAACTCAATACAAAGACAACCCATTGCAAAACTGGGCAAAAGATTTGAATAAGAATTTTACAAGAAAAAATGAATAGCTAATAAGCTCATGTAAATATGTTCAAAATCATTAGTCACTATTAAATTGCAAATGAAAAATACAATAAGCTACTGTTACACACAATCCAAAAGACTGACAATATCAAATCTTGAGGATGATGTTGAGAAATTGAAACATTCATACATTGTTGGCGGGAATGTAGAATGGTACAGTAATTTGGAAAACAGGTTGACAGTTTCCTAAAATTCTAAACATATACTTAGCACACAACCCAGCACATATCCACATATTCATACCAACATGATTCATAATTGCCCAAAACTGAAAACAGTCCAAATGTCCATCAAATAGTCAATGTGGAAGGGAAACATTCCATACAACAGAATACTATTCAGCAATAAAAAGGAATGAACTACTTGGATGTAGAACAACATGAATGATTCTGATAAACATTACTCTAAATGAAAAGAAACCAGAGAAAAAAGACTATATATGATATAACTCTTCAGATGAAATTTTTAGAAAAGGCAAATATAGAGAGACAGAAAATACATTGGTTTCTGGGGACTGGGAGGTGGGCATAGGGACTGACTGCAAATAGGCATCAGGAACTTTTTGGGGTGGTAGAGACATTCTAAATTGGAAAATGATGATGATACACAATTGTATAAATCTTCTAGAAATCATTTTAACTATAGTTACAATGGGTGAATTTTATGACATATAAATTATACCTCACTAAAGCTGTTAAATAAAGTAAGGGAAGCAGGGAATGAAGGATTTGCCCTGCCTTTCCTCTAGGAACTATATTTCAAAGTAACAAAATTGCTGATTAGGAAAATTTCTCTTATAGAAAAATTCTAGTTAATAAATACAAAAGAATGACAATATTAGGAAAATAGTAATGTGCAACCCGTAAGGAAAAAATAGATCTCAAGGGATACTACAGCTATTACATGAAAAGCTGATGAGGCGCCTTATAATGGAGGAATCAGGCTGATGCTGTCTGGAGCCAAATTATCATTCTTAGCATGACTAAATGTAAAACAATCAGATATTTTATGCAACTTGACATAATGCCATTAAGTACACAGCACCAACTATGAAGATTTCTTGCTAAAGTAACAAAATAAGCCAGAATCTAATCAAACCTCTATGTCTAATTATCAGTTTATAAAACAAGTAATAAACAATCCAAGCAACATTTTAAGGAAGCAATCAGCCAAACCCGAACTGTATGACATTCTAAATGACCTAGTTTTTCTAACAAACCCATAGTATTAAAAACAAAAAAAAAGTGTAGGACACTACTACAGGAAAAAAGAGAGAAATCAACATATATGGTGTGCGAACCACACCTGATTTTAACAAATCAATTGCAAAAAGACACTTTGGGGATAACTAGGGATATGTGAATTATGACTGTTTGATTTTATTAAGAAATTACTGATTTTGTTAGGTGTGATACCAGCATGGCAGTTCTATATTTTTTAAAGCCTTTATCTGTTAGAGGCCATACCAAAGTATTTATGGTGAAATGACATAATGCATAGGATTTGCTTTTAAATATTCCAGCAATGCCCCTCCGGATGGCAGAGTGAACATGTAATAAGATTGGCAAAATGCCAAAAATTATTGAAGCTGGGTGACAGATACACAGGATTTTAACACATTCTATTCTCTCCACTTTTAGTGTTGGTATTATAAACTCATCCATTTTTTTTTAAATTAAGGAACCAAAAAAGATTGCAAAACGGTATAGTAAGGGAGGAGTAAAAGACAAAAGAGCTCAAAGCACATTAGAGAGGTCAAGGATAAAGACTAACATGGAAGTAATCAGAGGATAGCTAATACATGAAGCCAAGTCTTTGGAGAGTATTATATAAGGAGACACCATAAACAAAGTATAAAAAGAGATCAGAGAAGAAAGCCAGTGGAATATTAATATTTGAAGATAGGGCAGAGAAAGATGAATTTAAAAAGGATACGAAAAAGTAGAATACTGGTGGTTGGGAAGAGAGCCCAAGGAAAAAAAAATCAGGGAAATCAAAGAAAGAAAATTTCCAAAAAATAATAACCACTAAGTACACTTCTTATAACCTCAAAATTTCAAATCAAATGGGACAAAAAAGGCATTATTTTTTAACAGAAGAATTTCAAAATGAGAGAAATGTTTATCTTCACTTTTTTTTAAGATACACAGTTTCCCAGATACTGAACAAGATGTTCAGTAAACATTAAAATTCGTATATCCATTAGCACCAAACTGCCACCTAGCTAGTCTGCTGCAGTGGAAAATATAATACCAAGGGCTAGAACAGCTATACAAAATAAATAAGATACTGACATTGGCCATAAAGAGTTATTGGGAGAAGAGTCACTAAACTATAAGCTCCATGAGATAGACAATGGGCCAGATTTTTCCTCCCTATATACCCAGATTCTTGCATGTTCCAGGCTACATGTTTCTACATTGCTAGAGTTGCAATGGGACCAGCAGGGGAGGCCAAATGGAAAGGAAAGTTAATAATGATTATGCTCAATTTTACTGGCCTTTGGAGCCACAGTTATACATTACATCAATCTGGTGATCCCAGAGCCCTTTCTAATTACAATGATAAATTAACAGAGCTTTTCATTTAACACCCAGAGCTTAAAAAGTGTACACTCTTGCATTGCTGCTCTCACAAATAGTTGTATCTTTTTATAGTTGATTCTGAGTACTTTCAAGAATTTACTTGTTACGTAGAGCCTTGGAAAAATGTATTTTTCAAATAATTTATTAATGTAATGAATACAATGTAAAGTGCAAAAGCATATATTTGAAGCTATCATTACTTTGATCTTACTCACTCTCTTGACTTGAAATACACTGAAGTTGAAGACATATTTCTGTTTGCAGGGCAAAATCTCACGTAACTTGAATCTCTATCATTATATCACAAACACCCCATATCGTCTTAATCAATAAAAAGTTTAAATAAGTCTCAGTTTTCCATAAACCAAACACACAAAAAAAGAAGTAATTCTCAGCCTCTCTGCAGCATATACATCTTTTATTATTTCCAGGAATATTCTGAAATTCTAAAAAGTATTAAAAAGTCTCAGCTCAAGATTTTTTAAGTTCTACTAACCCCTTTTAAACTTTTATTTAACCCAAGATTAAAGATCATAAGGATAATAAATCCTAAAATGTCTTAGAATCAGGAATTAAAAAGTTAAAAAACTTACATTCAAGCTGTGTAACCACATCTCCAGGATCTACTGCTTCCGGGAACACCTACAGTGAGAAGATATAGGGAGAGGCAGGAAGGAAGATATGTATGAATATTTTTTTCTCCCCTCATTCCCAAAATATCATTCCTTTCACAATCACAGAAACTTTTGACATTATTGAGAACTGTCAGTTCCTCTCTGCTTCCCATCACTACAAAATATTCTACAAATAAACTTTACAGCTTGCGCTGCCCCTGTCTCCAACTTCCTCTGCTAGTATTCTTCCTCCTGTTACCATGATCATACTAGGCCTTCTTGGTGTTCCTCCAATGCATCAAGATTATTCTCAACAACAAGTCTTTATATTTGTTATTCCTCTACTTAGAATGCTCTTCTCCTAGACCTTCAAATAAGAGTGATATAATTTCATAATTCAGGCTCAGCTTAAATGCTATTGCCTTCTCTGACCACCTTTTACAATAGACAATCCCCCAAATCCCCGTACCCGCCCATTACCCTCTTCATGCACTTATCACTATCTAAAATTATTCACATATTTATTTGGTTATTGTCTGTTTCCCCCATTACAATGAAAGCTCCCAGAGGGGAGGATTTTGCCTTGTTTACCATATGTCCTCAGTGCCTAGAAAAGTCCACGGAATAGAGTAGGTTCTGGAGAAAAAGAAGAAAGAAGGAATAAGGGAAGAAAGGAAGGTGAGAAGAAAGGAAAGATGAGAAAGAAGGAAATTAAAAAGTAAGAAACACAATTGGTAATAATTAACCAAAAGCAGCAGTTTTAGGGGGAAAAAAAGACTTACAGAAGGAAGTACCAAGAAACAGTCATAAGTAAAATACTGTATATTCTTCGTTTTATAGATGGAGTCTCACTCTGTCACCCAGGCTGGAGTGCAATGGTGCAATCTCCTCTCACTACAACCTCCACCTCCCAGGTTCAAGCAATTTTCCTGCCTCAGGCCCCGGAGTAACTGGGATTATAGGCATGCACCACCACATACGGCTATTTTTCGTATTTTTAGTAGAGACAGGGTTTCACCATTTTGACCAGGCTGGTCTCAAATTCCTGACCTCAGGTGATCCACCCGCCTCGGCCTCCCAAAGTGCTGGGATTACAGGCATGAGCCACCGCGTCCAGCTGATATATTCGCATCTATTAATGACTTTGCTCTCTTTTTATGAAAATCATTATTTAGAAATCAAGATTCTATGTTACATAAAGTCCACTAAATCAATTTTAGGAATAAGCTAATCAAACGAAAAAAGGCAAGTGATTCAATGCATATTTAATGCAAATTTTCAGGGTTCCAGACTTAAGTTACAAATATCCTTTTGAATTAAACCAAAGCACACAGTCAGCAGTAATAATTTCTGTTATGGGCTTTTATTAAAAAATTGGAACCACTTTGATTTTTTTGTTTGTTAATACTTGATCTGATATTTGAACTCACCTTTTCAAACACCATTCTGGCATTGAAGACCAGTGGAAAAGTGGCTGGGACACATTGTGTCTTTTTGTATTGGCCAAACACACAGATGCTAAGATAGATGTCCTCTTTGTCTTTAAGCACGACTCCTGGGCAAGTTACCTGAAAGAAATTAGATAAAATGGATGTAACTGCTTTATAAATTCCTTGAACTATCCTACTAAAATAACTTATTATCAAATATTACATAAAAACATTAGTCTGCTAACCTAAGAAAAAATACAAATAAAAAGAGAGAGAGACAGAGAGAGAGAGGGACAGAGACAGACTAGTGTTTACAGATTTAAATGAAATGCTTTTATAACTTCCATCCCTCTGAGAAAACTATGATTTTACATTTGGTTACTTGTGCCACATTTGAAGTTCTATGTACTAGCTCTTGGGACAGACACTAATAGTTTTAAACAGTCAGCCTGAGGCTCCCACTTTATGCTGAATGCTGACATAAAGTTACTCAGTATCATTTAATCACAAGATTAACACTCAGCAGAAATAAAATATTATAGTAGAGAATAAAAAAACCACTGATAAAAACTACAAATCTGACTTCTACCACCCAAAATCGCAGTTCACAGATACCTTCATCAAAAGCAATATGACAAAGTTTCAAAGCTAATAAATTGAAAGTTTCTAGCCAATAAACTACTTTTTACATATTAAATTGTACTTAACTATTCTCATTGTGCTTGACAGAAAATATAGGCATAAAATGTGTGGTTATTAAATAACACATAGCACAGTCTCTCCAGTACCTACCATATTCTATTGCCAGTGATCAACTACACCCTTAGCAGAATATTAAAGGCTCTCTAAGATTTGAGTCCAATATAATGTTACGTTACCCAACACTCCCAACAACACATTCAAAGTACATTTTTTATTGTTCTCTTTTCTTGACTCATGTTCTTTCATCATCTGTATAATGTAACATAATATAATATAATGTAAGGAGCAGTAACTCCTTACTACTCCATTCCATCTCCTCCTCATTTATTCCTACCACCTGCCAAGACATATATCAATGAATATCTCCTACACAAAACTTCTCTTGATTCACCATTATTCGATTCAACCTAATTCAAACATTTATTATGAACTTACTATATGCAAGTAAGTAGGTCTTAAATTTCTGTAGCATTTTGTAATTATGGTACAAATTATTGTGTACATGCATTTTAATTAAGTGGGTACATATCACCTCTTGATCATAAATTTCCTGAGGACAGAAATTTTCTTATCATCATCATTGTATCCAAAGATACAGACTTTCAATATTAAGAAAAAGCATAGAGGTTATCTAGTCCAGCTTTGAGTTTTTTATATGTGAAACAAACAGAGCCCCAGGAAAGTTAAAGTGATCTACTAACTTAAGGTCACAAAGTAAATGAGTCATAAGATTAAATAAGTTAATATATTCAAAGTGCTTACAGCAGTGCTTGACAGAACATTCATTAATACTATCATAATTATTAGATTAAAAACCATATCATCTGCCATCTTACCACACTATTACATTGAATAAATGAACTTCACATCCTTTTGTATATACTAATTATCTTCTGTGCTAGCTATTTGACACCATCTCCCTGTTACCCTATGTTCCACTTTTGCTCTAATATATTCCCAATTGATCATTAAAATAAGGGTCCTTAGCAAATCTCATTCTGTCCATAAGGTTCATTTCTTGCTTTGCCTAATTAAAACTAAAACCATCTTAAGATTCCCTCTAAATCTGCGCTGTCCAAAATGGTAGGCACTAGCCAATTAAGCCCAGAGATATAGCTAGTCTAACTTAAAATGCGCTGTAAGTGTAAAATACAAATGGATTTTTAAGACTCAGTAAAAAAATCTGTAAAATATTTCATTAATAACTGTTATATTAATTGCATGTTGAAATGATATTTTGAATACCTTGATTTAAATAAAATATATTATTACTTTTGACTACTTCTTCAATTTTTTTTGTTTTTTTTTTGAGACAGAGTCTCACTCTGTTGCCCAGGCTGGAGTACAGTGGTGCGATCTCGGCTCACTGCAAGCTCCACCTACCGGGTTCACGCCATTCTCCTGCCTCAGCCTCCAGAGTAACTGGGACTACAGGCACCCGCCACCACCCCTGGCTAATTTTTTGTATTTTTAGTGGAGACAGGATTTCACTGTGTTAGCCAGGATGGTCTTGATCTCCTAACCTTGTGATATGCCTGCCTTGGCCTCCCAAAGTGCTGGGATTACAAGCGTGAGCCACCACACCTGGCCTACTACTTTAACCTTTTTAACTGTAGCTATTAGAAAATTTAACTTTATATACTTGGCTCAAATTTGAGGCTCTTACATTTTTTTCTGGACAGTACTGCTCTAATTATCCTCACTGGAAACTGCTGAATCTCTATCCAATTTGTAACATATGCAAGAAGGCATTACTTGTTTTTTCCATCTACAATTCTACAAATTCTGCTGTCTCTTAAAAGAACACCCAGAAGCTCTCCAAAAAGAAAGCCAGAAAAGGGAAGTTAAAGGAAATCAGATGGGTGGTTGACTTAAATCACCTTGACAAGCTACGACATAGACTTGGCAATTCAGAAGCGCATACACATGTGCAAAGCTGTTCATGTGCCCAGAGATGACCTGAGAAAGCCATAACCCTTCATCTCTGGCTGACCTTGAGGCTTTGAGAAAGTTGGAAGTGAAGGCTAAGGCAGAGTTGTAAATGGCTGCCAGGGCACAGAAAGCATACCCCAGCACATACACAGAGAACCTTGACAATGGCTGAAAGACCTCTTGGTTCAAACATTTAAGGAAATAGAAGGCCAATCTTTAGGAGACCATAAAGTTAACTGAGCAAAGCTGTCAGTGGCTACACATGACAAAGATTACAGATTTTACAGAGTTAGTTCAGGAAATTAATTAAACAAAAAACAATAATACCAGACAACAAACTCAGGAGAAAGGGAGGGAGCTCTGATTTACACAGTCCCACATAATTTAAAAAGTCCAATTTTCAACAAAAATTACAACATGCAAAGAAATAGGAAGCACAGCCCATACAAGGGGGAGGGGGAAGAAAAGAAAAAAGAGCAGTCAATAAAAACTGTCCCTGAGGAAGCCCAGAAGTTGGGCTTACTAAACAAAGATCTGAAATCTATTATAAATAAAACAAAGAACTAAAGGAAATCGTGCCTAATGATCTAAATGAAAGTATGGCAATGCTGTCTCATCAAATAAGAAATATCAGCAAAAAGATAAAAATTTTTAACAGAACCAAATCAAAATTCTAGAGTTAAAAAAGAGCCAAAATTAAATTAAAAATTCACTAGAGAAGTTCAAGAGGAGATATGAGCTGTCAGAAGAAAGAATAACGGAACCTGAAAATATGTCAATTAAGATTATCTAGTCTGATTAACAGAAGGAAAAATGAACAGAGTTTAAGACCTGTGGGATACCACCAAGCACAGTAAAATAAATATAATGGGAGCCTCAGAAAGGATATCACAAGAAATGATGTATGAAATCTTCTTATCTTTAAAGAAAACCAATCAAAAAATCAAACAAGATAAAAGAAATCAAGGGAGGATAACTTCAGGCCAGGAGTTCAAGACCAGCCTGGGCAACATAGTGAGATCCTCTCTCTACAGAAAAAAAATTTTAAAGTTTTTAAAAGATCAAAGAAATCCAACCTGTGCACCTAATAAACTTTCAAAAGAAGAGAATCTATCCGGGCTTGGTGGCTCACGCCTGGAATCCCAGCACTTTGGGAGGCCCACATGGGCGGATCTCCTGAGGTCAGGAGTTCGAGACCAGCTTCACCAACATGGCGAAACCCCATCTCTACTAAAAACACAAAAATTAGCTGGGCATGGTGGCACATTCCTGTAATCCCAGCTACTCAAGAGGCTGAGGCAGGAGAATCGCTTGAACCCGGGAGGCAGAGGTGGCAGTGAGATGAGACTGCACCACTGCACTCCAGCCTGGGCAACAGAGCAAGACTCCATCTCAAAAAAAAAAAAAAAGAAAAAGAAAAAAAGAGAATCCAATGAACTCTCAAGAAGAGAGAATCTTGAAAACAACAAGAGAGAAGTGATTCAGCAGGCAGCAATAATCTTCAGTAAGATTAACGGCTGATTTCTCATCAGAAACATGAAGCCAGTAGGAAGAGTGATAACTGACTCAAAGTGCTGACGGAAGAAAACTTTCAAACAATAATTCAATACCCACAAAAGTTTTCTTTCAAAAAGTAAGTAAAACTAAGTAATTCCCAAATAAACAAAAACTGAGATAGCTCATCACTAGCAGAACTTCCCTATCAAAAATACTTAAAGAGAATCTTTCAGGTTGAAATGAAAGGATACTAGACATAGGCTCATATCCACATTAAAAAAAGAGCACTAGTAAATGAAACTATATAGAGTAAATATAAAAACAGTATAAACGCATTTCTCACTCATTTCTCCTATTTTATTTCAAAGACAATTACAGAAAGCAACAATTATAAAACTGTGCTGGTTTTATAATTGTTTATAAAATGTATAAACTTATATTTATAAAAATGTAATTTGTATGAGAATAATATAAAGGGAGGGAGAATAGAACAAAATAGAAGGAAAGGTTTTATGTAACAGTGAAAATAAGTTAGTATTAGTCCATACTAGATTATAAATTAAGATGCTAATTGTAAACCCCAGACAAGCACTAAGAAAGTAACTTTCTTTAAAATACAGCTAAAAAAAAAAAAAAAAGAAAATGTAAGTGGTACACTAAAAAATAAACAACACAAAAAAAGCCATAATGGAGGAATAGACAAAATAGTCACAGAAAACAGATGACAAAATGATACAAGTAAATCTTATCTATGGTTACATTAAAGATAAATTGACTAAACACTCCAACCAAAAGGTAGAATGGCAGAATGGATTCAAAACTATGATCCAACTATTTTCTTGGCCATAAACAGAAATAAAGTGCTATTACATGCTACAACATGGATGAACCTTAAAAGCATTATGTTAAGTGAAAAAAAGTGTTAAAAGCACAAGGCCAGGTGTAGCCAATCTTTTTTGCTGTCTTTTTTGCTGACTGTCAGTGGGCAGAGTATCCAGGACTGATTT